ACACCTCCCCCCAACACCGTGTTCACCCTGTTCACCCTGACACAGCTGTGACAGTCATGGGAGATCCCCTGCCAGAGCTCCACAGTGCTGGGGGCAGTTACAGCTCCCCTCACCAAGCCCTTGGAGCCTCAACAAGACAGTCTCACAGAATCCCAGAATAACTGCGGCTGGAAGAAGAGATCATCCAGTCCAACCCCCACTGCCAAAACAGGGTCACCCGGAGCAGGTGACACAGGAATGTGTCCAGGTGGGTTTGGGATGTCTCCAGAGAGGGAGATTCCACAGTCTCCCTGGACAGCTGTTTCAGTGCTCTGCCACCCTCAAGGGAAAGAAGTTCTTCCTCATGTTGAGGTGCTTTAGTTTATCATCCTGTCTCTGGGCACCAGAAAAAGAGAGCACCTAACAAAAAGCAACAAGGGCACTTACAGCAACAGTAACTAAAGAGCCAGCACTTGCTAAAGCTCTACCCTTACAGAAAGGTCCTCCCAAATCCTCTCGTCTTCTCTGAGCCTCCTGCTCTGAGTGGCAGGAGCACCTCTCTAGGGGAGGCCGTGGAAACTGTTCAAAAGGGTGTGAACGGGATACCCAGGCCCCAAAGCACCCAGCCTGCTTCCACATCCCTTCCCAGAGCCGCAGCTTTCCCCCTGCCTTGCTAACCGCTCCCACAGCCGGTGCCGGCTAGCCGGGCAGAGCTCGGCGTAACCCGGTGGCACGGCGAGGGGACGGACCGAGCTCTCACCGGCGGCAGCCGCAGCACGAACTGGCTCTCGAGCTCGTGCGGAGCATCGTCCTTGCCCTTGCTCATCCCGCCTCCTCCAGCTCTGCCGTCTCCTCGCYCTCGAGAAGGCTCCTGCACGGGGACCCCAGCCCAGCACGGCTGCCAGTGGYTCCCCCAGCCCCGCTCCGGGCCCCGGCCCCGCCGCGCCCGCCCCTTCCCCGCGGAAGCCGAGCCCGGCGCGCCGCCCCTTCCGCTCCATCCCCGCTTCGCTCCGCTCCCGGTGCGGCCTCGCTCCGCCCGCCCGCCGGCCCCGCTCCGCCGCGCCAGTGCCGGTGCCCATGGGGGCTGGCTTCGGCGCGGGGCTGGGGCTGGCCCTGGCCTCCAGCGCCTTCATCGGCGGCAGCTTCGTCCTGAAGAAGAAGGGGCTGCTCCGGCTGTGCGGCCGCGGCCGCGCCAGGGCAGGTACRGCCGCTCCCGGGGCACTGATCTCGCTGGTCCCCCGAGGGTCGTGACGAGCCTTTTGTGTGGCTTCATCTGAGGTTTCTCGTTTATTTCCTCTGTACTCAGGGCAAGGAGGGCACGCGTACCTGCGAGAATGGCTTTGGTGGGCAGGGCTGCTGTGCAGTAAGTACCGTGCTCAGACCGTGGTAAGGCATACTTATCAGGGGATCACGGAATGGTTCGGCTTGGAAGGGACCCTAAAGATCATCTCGTTCCAATCCCCTCCCATAGGAACACCCAGTGATCAGGTTGCTCCAGGCCCCATCCAACCCGGTTTAGGACACTTCCAGGGATGGGGCAACCACAGCTTCCCTGGGCACCATCTTCCAGTGCTCCACCACCTTCACAGGGAAGAATTGCTTCCTGGTATCTTACCTAAACCTACACTCTTGCAATTTTAACCCATTTTCCCTTGTCCTGTCACTACATGCCCTTGTAAAAAGTCTCTGTCGTTCTTGTAGGCTCCTTTCAGATTCTGGAAGGCCACAGTTAGGTCACCCCAGAGCCTTCTCTTTGAAGAGTGTGTTTGTGGTTGTTTCCAGTCACTTTCATGTTTTATTATTACCGTTACTGTTTGACTGCTTGAGTTTTATYCAAGTTTCTGATGATGATGTTGATCTAATTGTAACTAAACTATTCTAAAGTCTCACRCATTGCCAGGTTTCTCTGCTAAGCAGGAGCTGAGGAGCTGGTCTAGCTRGGTTGGGTTAGGTGCTTTTGAAGTGGCCTGCCCTGAGGCTGTAGTGATGATGGCACACCCAGAACCGTGGGTTTAGTGCTACAATAATTTCAGCAGTTTTACTGTGCACTTTTCAATGTTGAGAACCAACTGTACTTGATTTACCCTTTAAAAAGCTGTAAAAGATGTTCCAGAAGGAAAAACCTTTCAGCTTTGTGGAAATTACGGAAAGACTTTCTTGTAGTTGCTGCCCACTGTAGAGGCAGATGTGACTAAGGATCACTGTGCATAACACGGAGCCTTCTCTTCCCAAGAACCTGTGTGGGGCTTCTGCTTGTCCYCGCTGTTCTTCCCTGATTGCTCAACATAGAGAAACAGGATGCTCAGGAGGAAACTGAGGCTTTTCTGGCTGCACTCAAACTTGTATAAAGGTGAATTTTTCCTACTTCAATGCTCACCSCTCAGTTTCTCTTGCAGTGGGAGTTGGAGAAGCTGCAAATTTTGCTGCTTATGCCTTTGCCCCTGCAACACTGGTMACTCCACTGGGTGCTCTAAGTGTCCTTGTTAGGTAAGCAGCCTCAGAAACACTCTCATTCACCCACCAGCCCTTAGTGATGAAAGCATTTGCACTGCTTTCTTCCCTCAGCTACTTMATCTCTTACCTAATTATTTTTTTGGGGTTTTTTTTTTTTACTGTCTTTCAGTGCAGTTCTGTCTTCCATCTTCCTAAATGAGCGGYTGAATGTTCATGGGAAGATTGGCTGCATCCTGAGTATCCTGGGCTCCACTGTGATGGTGATCCATGCTCCACAGGAAGAAGAGGTTTCCAGCCTGGAGTCAATGGCAGAGAAGCTGAAAGATCCAGGTACTAAAATAAAAGGGTTCCTGTTGACTTCAGGCTAATGACAGTAGAAGGTGGGATAGTCCTTGGCTAAGGACTGAACAAAATGGTGATTGAGCTATTTCTTGTTCTGCACACCCAACTGGCATCACCAACAGTTACCAGGTGGGCTTCTTTCTGTACTCTCTGTGAGGTWTAGATGCAAGAAGTGAAGAGCAGCTGTGAGCAGAAGGGGTTGGCCTGTGGCAGTGACAGGATAAGAGAAGGAATTCCTGCACACAAGGGTGGCAGTGGTGTGACTGAGAGAAGGCAGAGGAGTAAATTCAGGTACATGAACGAGTGATTCAAGGAGCTATGCCCAACATCAGGCAGTCCTGGTATTTATGTTAGAGGATGAATCAAGCTGCAAGGATATGATGTGGAAATGGCACRAATGGCAGAAAAAGCCACAAGAGATGGAGGAATGAAGCAGAGGAAGAAAAAAGGAGACTAACAGGTAGCTGTTGCTTCTCATTAGGGGAAGCACTGGCAGGCCATTCCTGTGACATGGAACTTTMCTTTTAATCCCACTGCAGTCTGCAGAGTTCAGCCAGAACTTCCCAAGCTTTCTGCCTCCCTCCTGAGCCTCCTGCAGGACTGGTCAAAAGCCCCTCACCCCTGCTAGTGCCCCTGGAGCCTGGCTGTGCCCCTGCCCCTCCCAGTACAGGCTGTATCCTCAMCAGCCTGACTTGTGATCACATTAATGAGCTGTTGCTGCAGCTTTGCTCAGGCTTCCCAACCCTGGTCCCTTTAGGTGGAGGCCAGAAAGGCTGATGGGGCAATTACCTGCCTGTCAGCCATCTTTACTTGCTGTTCAGTCACATCTGTCACTRCTGCTGCTGTGTTCTGATAGAGCTCTTGCATTTTTCTTGCCCCAAGGATTCATTGTATTTGCCGTGTGTGTCCTGGTGAGTTCCCTTCTGCTCATCTTTGTGGCTGGACCCCGTTATGGACAGAGCAACGTCCTGGTTTATGTTTTGGTCTGCTCTGCCATTGGCTCACTGTCTGTATCCTGCGTCAAAGGCCTGGGGATTGCCCTGAAAGAACTGTTCTCTGGAAAGCCAGTCCTGAAAGAACCCCTGGCMTGGGTACTCCTGGTGTGCCTGGTGATCTGCATCAGCATCCAGATCAACTATCTGAACAAAGCCCTGGACATTTTCAACACCTCTGTGGTCACACCCATTTACTACGTGCTGTTCACCACAGCAGTCATGATGTGCTCAGCCATCCTCTTCAAGGAGTGGCAGCACATGGTGCTGGACAATGTCATCGGCTCCATCAGCGGCTTCCTCACCATCGTGTCTGGGATCTTTCTCCTTCACGCCTTCAGGGACATGCCCTTCACCCCCAACCTCCTGCCCCTCTTCCTGCAGCCAGGCAGGGCAGACCYCCAGCCACCCTGGAGCAGTGCAGACAGACATCAGTCCTGTCAGCACCAACCTCTGCTGCCCTCCGAGGACAAGGGCACTCAGAGCACAGAAGAAGAGGAGGAGGAGGAGGAGGAAGAGGAGAAGTGAAAACAGGTGAGGAAGCCTCTGAACTACTGGCTTCCTGCCAAGGCTGAACATGCTGCTGCAGGAGCAGGAACTGTGAGCTACCCTCTGCCTGCCACAGACAAGAGGCAGGAGGCTGACAGGGCCAGCAGCCTCCTGTGGCTACAGACAGAGGGGCCCTGGAACTGCCCAGTTCCTGTGCTTCTTCATGGTTCTTTTACATGAAGAACTCATCTGCCCTCCTCAGGACCAGACCTCACTGTGCAGAGAGGCCTGCAGCACTAACACAGTGCTAACCCTGACTCTGTGGCAGATCACACATTTGGGGAGGCTCACACTGTTTTTTTAAAACCAGAATTAACAGTTACAAAATGATCTAACATGGTGCTAAGGTTACGCAGAGAGAAGATATGTCTGGCTTTAAAGGTGACATACAGAGAGTATTAATGCAAAAATTCCTCTGCCAAGTACTTGTTTTTGCTCACACTGCTAGAATTTATTTACAGATTCACATCCAAAAACAGAATACAGCCCAAACTGGGAAACTTCAGCGGTGCTGCCACATGTTGCTGTGGCTCTTACAGAGGGACCAACCTCTTCATGCAACATCTGCTGTGCAGGTTGATGAAGCTTCCCGTATTCTATTAAAAACTGATCTGTTCAGTTACCAAGTGATGAGTGATACATTTGTACCGAGGGCTGGGCCAGCACTGAAAGGCATGGAGGACCACAGGGATAGGAAGAACTCTGTGAATGCTCCAGAGAAACTCCTGTTAGGACAGGCGAGGGAATCACCTGCTCTGGGATCCTTGTCCTTAGCTACTGAGGTAAGATAGCTAGACAGCTGTGTCCTCACTGACATGGGTTTACATCTGCATAGCTTTTAACTCATCCTGAGTTTGTACYCAGGAAGGCTGCTGGCTCCAAGCTACCTATGTTAGGACCTCACACACTGCCCAGCAGCCCCTGCAGTGGATTGTGTGCAGAACTACTTTACCAGGTTTCAGTGTAGAGCTCCAGATCACTGTCAATGTCACCCCAAGCTTCCCAGAGCTATGCAGCATAAACACTGGTGAAAGGCTGCTGCCTTCCCAGAGAGCTGATCAGTAGTTGGTTGTTTTTCCATTTGAAGCTCCTCTTTGTGTCCTGGGGCAGAGGTACAGAAGACATACCCCCAGGCCTCCTGCCAGTGACCTCTACAGATAAGGTGCACGAGGTCACAGARCAGCTGGTTAGCTATTCCCTGCCTTTAGTCTTTCTAAATAAACKACTTTCTAGGACAGCAGGAGCTGTTAACCCTTTGGGGAAGAGGAGAAAAGGCCACAGCCTCTCCCAGAAACAAGTTTGATTTACGGGACCTAATTAATTGAGCAACAAATCAGAATTCAGAAAAGGCCTTCTAGCCAGAAGACAGTTATGCCCCCTTCCTACTAATTTTGCCATAAGTAGGATCTCTGTGAAGGAGGGGGAGTGACAAGAAGGCCAGCTTTTCCATTCTCAGCAGTGATCTACCTGAACAAAGGAGAATCTCATATTAAAAATTGACCCAGTTAATATTTATTACATTTACCCAGGGAAAGCAGTTAATGGAGCAAGTCAGCATYGACAGAGTTGTGCTGCAGTGTGAAAATTGGTCACTTGGCCATATGAATGATTCACCTATGGAAGCCTGAAAGTATTTTCCAGCAGTGGCACTGCCTGGGATGATCACTGTTCCCAACATGCTCTTCTTGCTCAGGGTGCCTGTCCCGGCCTGCGCAGCGCAGCGATGGTGCCCGAGGGCAGCTGAGGATGTGCCCAGGAGGGCTGGTTTGTGCAGCACTGTTTAAGGCAGCGACCGCGGGCTGGCCTCACCCAGAGCCGAGTTTCCTGTCAGCGCTGGGAGCACCCATGGAACGAGCATCACCGCCCCTCCGCTCAGCCGAGGGGGCACATTCCAAACGCTCCCTCCGTGGCACCGGGGTCCCGGCACAAAGGTGGCCGCTGGCCCGCGGGGCTGGGAGCAGCACATCACCCCGATGTGGAGCGTCCGTGTGTCTGTTGTGTGCTCTCATCTGGCTGCAACTTCCCCGAGACTGGCATTTAATTAAATCCTAACCCCCCCCRAGCTGATCCTGGCTCCTGTGGGCAGCGGAGTGACCAGGAGTGGGCATGGGCGAGGGCCTGGCCTGGCGGGCGCTGGGTCCGGCTCAGTCGGACAAGCTCTCCGAGAAGGCCGACTTGGACTTCTGTGTCTGCTCCAGCCGGTTCAGGATGAACTGGCTCGTATCGATGAAGCGCTCCACGCAGTTGACGAAGCACGTCTCAGCCCGGCTGTCCAGCTTCGGGCCCGGCTTGTCCATGCACTTCTCCTGCACACAGCGGGGTCCCGTTGGTCCCGGGGCACCGCACCCCGACCCCGCCCGCCCATCCCATACCGGACCGTGCCTCTGGGCATCACCCTATTCCCCTCGGGATCCTCATCCTGTCGGGATCCCGGTCCCCTCGGGCGCATCTGACCCGCTTCCCGCCCATGGCTTTCCCGCCCCACCGCTTCCGAGAGCCGCCCCCTCCCGCTCTGTGCTCACCGGGGCTGGGATCGCTCCCACGGCGGCTCCACTTTGTCCCCATCCGCCTCCTCCCCCCGGGGACAAAGGTGTGCGCGGCCTCCCAGCCCGCCAGCCCCACCATCGCGCCCGGGTCACCGGAGCCGGCGGCCCTGCCCGCCGCCCGTACCCAGCAGAGCTCGGTCATCTGGTGCACCAGCTGCTGGAAGCGCTGCTTCTGCGTCTCCACCTCGATGAAGCGCTGGAGCTGGGGGTCGGCCCCGCCCAGCCCGGCGGCGGACGGCCCGTCCATGGCGCTGCCGGTGTCCCCCGCTCCCTCCCGGTGCCGCCGCGCCGCGACCTTCACGTGCC